GATATCTCTCTAACAATTGATATCAAAATTTTCAAATGCATAATATTTTTGGAAAACTTTATACATATGCACTTAATTTCAATAATTAATATTGCATAAAGTATTTTAGACTTAGATATATTGAATTTCATGTACTACTAACATGTTTGTTATTCTTTGTTGAAATTCAATTTTCTTTAAGTGTCATGGTCCTAAAAGCTTAATTTTGTTTGGAATGCATTTATTGAGGGGAATCTTTGATTTTTCAAATGATTTTTAAAATTTCAAAATTACTACTTACTCTCCAAAGTTATTTTGAACTTCAAAGATTGAATTATTTTTTATATAACAAAAAAAGGGGATAAGTTTTGGTTTGAAAAATTCAATTTCTTAATGAAAAATGGGGAGCTTAACATTTTCATATATTTTCAAACAACTGATATCATTTTGTTACCAATTGATATCTTTTTCATTAAACATTTTATTAAGGGGAGCTTTTGCCCAAATTTTTTTTTTAAATATTTTGTTATATCAAAAAGGGAGAGATTGTTGAATTATGTTTCAATGTAACAAGTTTAAAGGCAAAATGTTTTTTGACTTTAATTGAATTTATTCAAAATTTTAAAACGGTTTCAAAAATAATTCAAAGTCCATTAAATTCAGATTTGAGCAAAAAAGTTAAAGGGTGTCAAAGTGCATCCATACACCCCTGCAGTGCATCCATGCACCCCTGCACTGTATCCATGCACCGTTGCACTGCATCCATGCACCTGGCACTAGTGCATCCATGCACTCCATTTTGAATGCAATTAGTGCATCGATGCATCCTGCTGTGCATCCATGCACCAAGGCTGCAACAGCTAGTAACAACTAGTTTATTTGAATTTAATGAAGGGGTATCGATGCACCTTGATAGTGCACCGATGCACCATGTTATGGGCAGCTTTTTTGAGTAGAAAAATCATCCCCAAATGGCTCCAAAACATCCCCAACGGTTATATACGACATCAAACATATTCCAAGCTATAAATACAAGCTAAAGACGCTTGAAGAAGTAAGAGAACAACTATCTAAGCAATCAAACACAAGAGAAGAGTTTTTCATTCTTATTTCATCTTCCTCTTGTAAATATTTTGTTCTTGTGAGCTCAATCTTGTAAACACCTACCTTATAGAGGTTTTCTTGTTTACATCTTTTATCCTTTTGTAAAGGGGAAATGTTCTAGCTTATCCCGTGTAAAAGCTAGGGAAAGGTTTTAGTTTAGCCCGGAAAAACTAGGGAGTTGTAAGGTTATCTCTTTATCCTCAAAAGAAATAACAAATTAGTGAATTTGTTGGAAAATCCTTGGTGAGTAGCTAATGTAGTAGATGTAGACTTTGGTTGAGAAAGTCGAACCACTTTAAATCGCTTTGCAATTTTCTATCTTTCAATCTCCTGACTCCCTAAACACAAAACCGTTCCGACCCCTCTTTGCAAACCGTTCCGGTTGTCGATTCGAGTTTTCGAAAATCCCAACAGAGGAGGAATTCATTGACCTGTTGCAGCTTGACAAGGTAGAAAGGGCATGAATCACAACCCTCTGGGATGTCCCTATGAAGGTAAGAGCATATAATTCCATCAGGCACAGTCCTCTTACAACATTCCGCTTGTTTAAGTGGGCTTCCACAACCACAGGGCAGTTCCTTGTTTATAAGACATTGAATGTCTGGCAGCTGCAACATTCTCTGATACACCCGTTTTTGCAATTCACTCATGGCACAAAATACAATATTATCTTCCTTTCCCAACATATGTTGTCCAATAGCTCTTTCGTCCTTCTTAGCATATATTTATTAAGGACTGATGCCAGGTTCTGTTTACGCTCATCAGCTACCCGAACAAATCTTTCAGGAGCAGTTGACCTCTGGCCATGCTTGAGGGGTTCATCATAAAACTCCAGAAAATGTTCTCTTGTTCCCAAGGATCCAGGAGCAAACCAGTCAAAGAGGTTAAACAGTTCCATAATTTTGTTCTGCATGATGGTTCCTGTAAGACCAATTCGTCTGCAAGTCTTAATCTCTAAACATGCTATATAGAGTTTAGATTTTTCATTTTTTAGGCGGTGTGCTTCATCAACAGTCACAATCGCCCACTTGATCTCCGATAAAAGATTGCCATGAATTCTAAACGTGTCAAAACTAGTAACCAGAACTTCCAACTCCAATGGCTTGTAGCTTCTCAAGAATTAATTCGCAGCTTGACCCATGGTAAATAGAAACATTAAAGGGTGCCCATTTGGAGAATTCACACTCCCAATTATGGATGACAGAAGTGGGACAGATTATTAATACAGGTCCTTTTTGTTCCACCTGGTTTTCCTTCACAGGTCTGGAGTCACCATATTCCTCGTCTTTCCCATATACAGCAGCGAGAAATGTGATTGTCTTGCCAAGTCCCCTGCATCAATTTTTTTAGAAAGGTGAAAATTCTTCCTTCTGAAATATGGCAATCCAAGACAAATACACACAATATAAGGCTCGCCAAAACCAGTGGCTTGGTTTTCAGAAAAGGAAAAGTTAAGGGGGGGAAAGAAGAAATAAAGATGAACCACCAGAAAACTATGTATGACATAGAAATGGACCCTAAAGTGGTCATCGAGTGTTCTAAGTTTTCACTTGTTAAATCCCTCTGCACAAAAGTTTATTATCGGTTCATGCTACCATTGACACTCATGACATAAGCTCAAGCAGATCATTTTAACAGAGCATATCACAATTAGATAAAAATTTAAAACTGAAATACAACAAGATCATAAGACAAATCTTGGGTTCCATTCAAATGCTATAAGCTACTAATACTGTAAAAAATAACTCCACTAATTAAAAAGGCGAAAGCATTCCGACCACAGACATACTATTGATGAGTATTCTCTGAAAACAAACTAAATATACAATTTACTAATAACATAAAGAGTGAAAATGTTGGATAAGTGCTCACATATCACCACCAAGAATGCCCCCATGGTTGTTCTTGTACAGCCTGTATAAAAACTTGATTCCCTCCCTTTGATGGGCAAGCAACCTACAGTTAATATATGCATGCACCTGCCATAACCAAAGTCACCAATTAACAAAAGAAAAATCGTAGCTGTTAAATCACTGCTACATTCTTTGATATCCTAGATGGCCATGTTGAATAGGCTGCCTACAAAGAATAGGTTAGCCTCATTTGATCTCTAAATTACTGGGAAATGTGTTCTTTGTGAACAGGAAACAAAGGATCATGTATTCTTCGACTGTTCTTACTTCAAAGAAATTTGGTCTACAGTGTTGAATGCTTGTAATCTACAGAGGAGGGTAATGAATTGGAACTCAAAGATTATCTAGGTCATTGGTAAGTTTAAGGGAAAGCCTTTGATTACTGTTATTCTTAAAATTACGTAGAACTTGGTTATTTACCTTGTCTGGAGGGAGAGAAATGTACGAATCTTCTAAGGGAAGCAAGCTCAAGTGTCCGAGTTGGTCTGTCAGGTAAAAAATATATATTTAGATGAAAGCTGCTGGACAAGAACATTAGAAGGATTACCTCTATTAATACCAAACTATGCATCGATTGGAATCTAGTTTAGGTTATTTGGTTTGGTATAGTTTTGTTGGAACTATACAGTGGACATTATATTGTTTGGTTGGCTTAATTATAAAATAAGTGCTCAAATTATAGCGCTTTTTATGAAAGTGCTTAAATTATTTTTTGACTTATCCTGCTGGTTAACATTACCAGCATTATCACTTCAGGTGTTCGGGCCGTGAACGGCGTTAATTTCGTTCATTAGTGGTACACGCCTCAATTTAGTAATTTTGAAATTCATTTTAAAAAATATATTAAAATAATATTATATTTATAAAAAATCTTAATTTCTCTTAAATTATAAAAAAGTCCTAAAATCTCAAAATCTAACCCTAACCCTAACCCATTACCGCCCTTTCCGGCCACGACCATGTCGCCGACATAGACCCTTTCATCCTCTTAGTCATATGCCACCGTAGTTTCTGTCGATTGACCATCGAAATCATGTGGGATTGTGATTTGCATCCTAGGGTTTGCAAGATATAAAATGTCTAGTCGCCATCAGTCGATCGTTAATCGATCATGATTTCATAGGGGTTTTGATTGCTGGGGGAGGTGAGATCGGGTGAAGCTTCGTTGATAGCAAAGGGTAACAACCAGAGTAGGTCAAGGGTTGAAATGAAGGTTTTCAAATTTTTTGGAGTTATTTTGAAATTTCTTTGTTTTTAACATGATTTTAATTTTTTAATTTTAAATAATTTTTTTAAATTACACATGTGTCACTTAACGAAGGAAATTTACACCATATACAACCAAGACATTTAAAGTAGTAACATTTGTAATGTCAAATACCGAGATCATTCAAAAAATAATTTAGACACCTATTCTTGAAAAACGTTATAGCCTAGGCACTTGTTTTATAATTAAGCCTTGTTTATTTCCATGTATATGTTATTTTTTGGATAAATAAATTACACATTTATCTAAAAATGTGTGTTATTAATTGTTAAAAAAGATTAGGAATAGAGTAGACTCTTAAAAAAATAAAGAATATAATATATAAAATATCTTTTTTATCTTTTTTTATGTTATTTTATTTTAAAAATAAATAATTTTTTTTAGTTATCCTCCTGATTCTAAAGTTTCGGCTTGATTAATCCAAATCAACCCGTGTAGCATATCCGATTTTAGTGAGTAAGTCTCCCAGTAGGAATTTGGTGCATACACAAACACTCGAACTCGAAATCGAAATTTTACTTAAGGGATATCAAATTATTTACTACTTAAATCAACTATGTTGATAATATTTATTTATTTATTTTATTTATTTATTTATTTACTTACTTTATTTTTGCTAATGATTAAAATTATAAATAATAGTACGATGAAAACAATTTATCTTTACTGAGTATGATTAGGACACTAAGCTCTATCAACACTCAATTATTGAAAACATCAACTGCCAACGTGAATCACATGATAGAGAAATTTCAGGTTTCCGGATGGATTTCGTGGCACCGAGATAGCTCTTGTTCAACCTCCTCTTCGCCGCCGCCGCCACTGGGTCCATTCTCAAACCGGTTCAGTTTCTCCCTTATTGTTTTAGCTGCCGTTGACGATATAATCTGCATCCAACAAACCAAATCACTAAACCGGAAAATCCAAACCGAAAACATCCGGTGGTCGGTCGGCTAATTACCTCAGCATGAACGATGTGGAATACCGTATCCCCAACAATCCAGAAATTGGCGTTCACCACTTCACCTCCATCTTCATGAAATATGCGGATCATCTCATGAAACGTTAACTGACAGTCGTCGAGCCCCGTCGCCAAAGCCACCTCCATCGCCGAACCCGATTCGTTAATCCTGATCTCACTGTTACGATCGGTGCGTTCGTAAGATCTCCTCGTTCCAGTTAGATAATCCTTTTTCTCCCTAAGTTCGCCCAATCTCGTTTGCAGGCTCTTTATGTAATACACCGCCACATCTATTTGTTCCGGCAGTGTCAGTAGCTCCTGCAATCAGCATAGCATCCAAACTAAGAACTCATGCCCTAAATCAAGGGGGAAAAAAAATTAAATGGACAGCACCTTGGGATTATGATTCGGGAGGAGAGAATTGAGCACGGAGAGCAAATCCTTCATATGATTTCTCCTGTTTTTCTCAATGATTCTCCTCTCAACTTTAGCCGAAGAACAACGAGACCGTTTCGTGCCCTTTTCCGAAACCCAATTTTGAGCCAAGCGTTCCATCTGAAGCTCCATCGCCGTAGATCGACCACGAAGCTGGCTTATTATGGTGTCGTTATATATACACACGACTAACAAATGTGACAAACAGAAGGGGATGAAGAAGAACGTGGAAAACGTCGAAATCACCGTTACGATGGATGACGGAAGGTAAGAGTGAGATCACGCTGGTGGCGCACTTAGCTTACGTAAACATTCCAGTCGACAGAAAAAAGAAAACACTGTGCAGGCTGCGGCTCCACCTTTTAATAATGATTGCTCAAACACCACAGAGCTGGCAGCTGGCTCACTCGATCTTCTTCCACTCATTATTGTTCAGTCAAGCAAAGGAGAAGCACAAATTCGAATAGATATTTTTGAAATTTCAATGGAAAATAAAATAATAATATCCTAAAATTAAATACAACTTATTTTTTTTAATTTAATAAATAATATTAATAAATATTTTTATTAAATAAATAAAAATATAATACAGAAAAGAGAAATTTTAAAAAGTAATTAAGATAACGTTAGTCCAGTTTATTTTCAATTTCTATTTGATCTTATTAGTTCATCAAAATTTTAATATATGTGATTGAATCGGTAAATAAATGATTCTCAATTGAACTAATTAATTCGATCTATTTTTATGGTAAAGTACATGTTTACCATCTAAACTATTAGCTTTGGTTCTTTTTAATACTTAATTTTTTATTGGTTCTTTTTAATACTTAATTTTTTATTGTTTCTTCAAAATCATATTTAATATTTAGTTTTTGTTTCGTTTTAACAGCTCGTCATTAAAAACTTAACGAGATTTTATTTTTTATGGATAAATTACACCATTCATCACTCAACTACCTTCTCACTCCTATTTTTGGTACTAAAGTTTAAAAAATTTCAATTTAACTACTCAATTTTCAAATTGCTCCTATTTTAATCACTCTAATTTATTTTATTATAATTTTTGTGATATGACATTTTTATTATCTATTTTATTAATATATAATTACAAATAAAATAAATTTGAAACTTAGAGTGATTAAATTAGGAGTAATTTGAAAGTTAAGTAATTAAATTAAAAAATTAAACTTTAGTGATCAAAATAGGAGTGAGAAGATAGTTGAGTGATGAATGATGCAATTTACCTATAGGAAAGGTATCACGTGCAAATAACCCGTTAAGTTTTTAATGGAGATGTACTAAAACGAAACAAAAATTAAACGTTAAGTATGATTTTGAAAAAAAAAATTAAAAGTTTAGGTAGTAAAACGGATAAAAAGTAATAATTTAGGTACTAAACGAGTAATTTACCCTAAATATAAACCAAATCCATCAACTAAAAGATCCAAACCCAAATACTAATACCTAAAAGATAATAACCAAACCGTCGCTTGTTGGACACTCCCAAGTCCAAAGTGCTAGTAGGCTGAATTGTGATGTTGATTGAAACGTTTCATTTACATATTATGGGAAAACTAAGAAATCAATGTTTAGATCAAAATGAAATCATAAAACTTTAGAGACTCAAAGCTAAAAACTAATTTTTCAGGGGTCAAATTTAAATTATTTCTAGTTTAAACGAACTAAAAGTGTTATTATACAATTTGATTATAGAGGGTCGAGACTCCTCCAATTGTCCTTGCTTAATATATTTATTTATATGAATTTTGATATATTTAATAATTCATATAGAATTTATATTTACACCACCAAAAATATAAATCAATAAACACATTCTTACAATATAATTAGGGTTATTTTGGCTATTTCTAAAGCAATTTGTCTTTAAGTTGTCTCATCACTTCAATTATATAGCGCTCTTTTTCTCCTCTTAAGCTTAGGAAAGTTTTTGACGAGGCTCGTAACAAAATTTATCCATTTTATAGTTTTTAACGAGGCTCATAACAAAGTTTATCCATCTTATTCTATAAAAATATATTGTTGAGCAAAAAAATAAATAAATAAATTGAGAGAAACATTCTTTTTATAAAATTCATAAATCTAGTATACTTCATTGATATAAAAAAAACCCTAATTATTATTAATCAATATTATACAGTAGAAAATTTGTGCTAAAACAAACCTAATTCATCTCTCAATTTAGAGAGAAGCCATAAGATTATAATCATAGTAGTGTGATTACTAACTACAAAGATTATTTAAACAAAATTAGGGTTCTCGTTTCCATTCAACACACAACTTCAACAACACTGTAACGCATGGCAGGCAAGATTCTCCCGCAGATCAAAGGTTAACATCGAAGCCTTGGGCTTTTGTCGCCGGTCGGAATGCCCCACCTGCAACGGCGCCGGCGTTGTACTCTCGTACGTTCCAAGCCACTTGTCTTGCATGTACTTGTGCCTCCTCCATGGAGCCAAGTGCATCTTCTTCTCTTTCATGCATTTTTTGGCCGCCACGCATAGTATTTTTATCAACGCTCTCATCCTCTCCGATTTTCTGACGAACAGTTCCGGTAGCAGAGCGGTTAACTTGTTGTAATCTTGGTTGGCCCTCGCCATTTCGAATTCGGCTAGGAAATTCAACTCGATCGCCACTCTTGAATCACCTTTTATGGGGTTCGATTTGTCGAGAACTTCTAAATACGTGTACTCACAGGAGGGAATTTCAGGGGAGCTCCTCCACTTGGACTTGCATATGTAACAGTTGAAACCTGCGGATCAGAGACGAACCGAGACTTCCCTTTGCAAACATCTCCGGCGTTGTCCGGCCACCAGTCTCCGACAGGCGCATTGCACTCCCACCGTGTTCAGCTCACTCAATGCTTCTTTCGTTGCTCGTCGGATTCTTAATTCTAGAGAAGTTGTTTGAAACAAGGTTTCCTAAATAAACGTTTATGGCCAAAAGAATGAAAATCATCCAATCTTTAAACTCTCCCAAGTCAATTTTTGTGTGTTTTTAATTTAAATTATTGCACAAAGTTTACCTGAAGAAGCCGTTCTGTTGGATCATAAACTTGATCCATTATGGGAGCCTAAACCCAAACTCAAACTAAATTGATATCATTACTTACATCATTTAATTAAAGATGTCATTGCTTATATCATTTAAGTAATGATGTCATTGCTTACATCAATTTAGTTAGGTAAGAGTTAGATATTTGTTGAATTTGTAATGGTTTAAATTAGTTTATTTGTGTGGTGTAGGATTGTTCTTGAGTAGTATAAATACCCCTTCCCATTTTAGTTTTAAGCATCAAGAAAAATTAAGAGCTTCTAAGTGAGTGAAGAAGCAAAGTCTTATGAGAGTGAGTTGTAGTTCTTGTTTTTGAGTGAGAGTGCTCTTGTAATATTTGTTTGAGTTTCAATAAAAGTTGTTTGTGTGAGTGTTTTATTTCCAACAAAGTGGCATCAGAGAGAGTTGGAAAGATCGAAGGTCTCGACGAGATGAATCCGCTACCGCCAGAATTTTCTCAATCTGAGTTCTGACGCACCGCCAGAAGACTGCTGCCAGAAAATCGAGTTGACTCACCGAGTTGAGTCGAGTTAACCGAGTTGGAGCCCTTGACCGAGTTGTCCAAGTCCCTCTCAAGGTTTTTTCGGCGTTCCGGATTCATTCGTGCAATCGGATTTTACAAATCTCATTATATTGAGAGATATGGCAAATGGTATGGCACCATTCCAAGTTCCGACACTCAACAAAAACAACTACGACAATTGGAGTATCAAAATGAAGGCACTTCTTGGATCACAAGATGTGTGGGATATCATAGAGAAAGGCTATAACGAGCCTGCGGATGATGATGCTTTTGCTACTCTTACACCAGATCAAAAGACAACTTTGAAGGATTCAAGAAAGAGAGACAAGAAGGCTCTCTACCTCATCTATCAAGCATTAGATGATGATGGTTTTGAAAAGATTTCAAGTGCAAGCTCTAGCAAGGAAGTGTGGGAGAAGCTACAAACCTCTTATAAAGGATCCGAGCAAGTGAAGAAGGTTCGTCTCCAAACATTAAGAGGTGAATTCGAATCCTTAAACATGAAAGCATTTGAGTCTATTTCAGATTATTTCTCAAGAGTAGTAGCTGTTTCTAATCAATTAAAAAGAAATGGTGAAAAGTTAGACAATGTGAGGATAATAGAGAAGATACTCCGTTCGTTGGATCCCAAATTTGAGCACATCGTCGTGACGATTGAAGAAACTAAAGACTTGGAAGAAATGATGATCGAGCGACTCCAAGGATCATTGCAAGCATACGAAGAGAAACATAAGAAGAAGCATGAGTTTACTGAGCAACTCCTCAAGCTGCAACTCAAAGATATACATGAAAGCCAACGCAATGATAGAAACCAACGTGACCAAGGAAGAGGTAGAGGCCATGGACGAGGTGGAAGTCGAGGTCGTGGACGAGGCTGGAATTACAACAACAATAATTCCAACAACAACTATGAGAAAGGAGAAAGCTCAACACGAGGCCGTGGAAGAATCAATCCGGACTCAAGGCGTGACAAATCTCAAGTTCGATGTTATAATTGTCAAAAGTTTGGGCATTATGCTTCAGAATGTAGAGCTCCCAACAACAAAATTGAGGAGAAGGCTAACTACGTGGAGGAAAAGACAGATGGCAAAGAAACTCTTCTTCTAGCACGAAAGGAAACTGATGGTGGCCAAGCAAATTCCTGGTATCTTGACAGTGGTGCAAGCAATCACATGTGTGGAAGGAAATACATGTTCGTGGAGCTAGACGAGTCAGTAAGCGGAAATGTTTCGTTTGGAGATGATTCCACAATAGCAGTGAAAGGGAGAGGTAACATTCTTATCCGTTTGAAAGATGGGAGACATCAATTTATTTCAAATGTATACTATGTGCCCAATATGAAAAGTAACATCTTAAGTTTAGGGCAACTGGTAGAGAAATGTTATGATATTCATATGAATAAATATAATCTTTCTATAAAAGATGATAAGAATAACTTCATTGCTAAAGTACCGATGTCAAATAATAGAATGTTCTTGATCAACATACAAAATGATGTTGCAAAGTGCCTGAAAGCTTGCTATAAAGATGCATCATGGCTTTGGCATCTTCGATTTGGGCATCTTAATTTTGGAGGTCTAGAGCTGCTATCTAAGAAGGAGATGGTGAAGGGACTACCTCGCATCAACCATCCTGATCAGCTTTGTGAAGGATGTCTAGCTGGGAAACAATTCAGGAAAAGCTTTCCAAAG